CATTATCAATATCTCGGGGTAATAACGGTGAGAAGCGATCGAGGGGAGCGATGCAGGGACACGGCTGCTGTTCCCATCTGCCTGGTGTGTGAATCCAAAGCTGCCCTTGGTTTAGGAATGGAATGGAGGGACCTAAAGGTCGCCCTGGTCTATGTCGGGTAGTTTGTGTTGGAAATGGGATGCAGGTCCACGTGAGCCTGGAGATTTGTGTTATACATCGGTTCTTACATTCTTGAAAACATAATTATGGATTCACCTCCTGCAGCCTACCCAGGCAAATCCCTCCGAAGTTTTCCAAATTTCAGGGAGCAAAGGCTGGAGGAACCCATCGGCATGAGATCGTGTGTCCTTGCTCTGTGAAGACACTAAAGGAAAGATGGGGAAGGGCAAAACTGCTGCCTCCACTTCCAGTTTCATGCCTAAAATGTGAGACCTCACCGAGGAGGTTAAAATTCAGATCCCATCTGCAGAAAACCCCTCAGACCTCAGGGATCCTCCGTCCTCACGGAGCAACAAATCCTTCTGTGCAAGATTTAGTATTTTGGGAGCCTGTAATCAATTTTGCTGGTTATTCTGGGTAATAGAATTAAATTGGTCGTGATTCACTCTTCCAACTGACGCACTGTGATTCCAGGGGCTGATAAATCTCGGGCTGCATTTCCAGGGCACGGGAAGGATGTCCGCAGGCTGTGACGCTGCCATCCATCGCCTCTGTGGGCTCAGCTGTTATTTGGGGATCACATCCTGGCCTGATGTTACCAGCAGGATGGATCTGCATTGCTCTGCTGCTGCTTGAGCGCTGGGTTGATACGCTGGGTTGGCACAGACGGTTTGAGAAGGTGCAATTTGTCATCTCTAACTTTAAGCTCTGAGCCCAGTCCTAAATGATCCCGTTTTGTAGCCAGTGAAGGAAAAACAGGTGTCTTCTCTGCGTGATTGCTATTTATTGTGACAGCCTTTCAGCAGCTGTCAGTGCAGAAATTCCCCTTGAAACACCTTTTACATGGCTTCATCTGTCCCAGTGAAGACTGCCCAGGGTCTCTTCATCCTTACCCAGCTTGGCATGGAGAACTTTCTTTCAGGACCTCACTCTTCAAACTCTGAGGAGCCTCTTGGACACTCAGGGAATGATGCTCCAGCCCTTCCCAGTCGGATCCCACTCCCTGTCACTGAAACCACAAGGAAGCTCAACTGACTAAAAGAGGTGAAGGAGCTGGAGCTTGAACACAAACCCGCCCCATCCTGTCCCTCTTTGATATTTTCCCTAATTTCAAAGATGAGAGAGGCCTCTGATGGGCTTTCCCATGGACCACACATGTGTGTGTCCCCACCTTGGCACCCAGCGGCATCCCCTGGCTCTCACAGGGACACCCTGGTACCCTCCAGTGGATGCACAGGGCCCCCACCTTCTCTAGACCTTATTCTAGATCTGCAAATAATTCAAGTTACAGTCTCAGGAATTTTTGCACTCCCTGTTTTGTTGATCTCTAAGAACCTCTTCTCTTTGAACAGCGAAAATAACCCCCAAGATCTGAGTGATCACAGGAAAGGCAAAGAGGACAGATTCCCTCTAGGAAGGGGTCTGGAGCACAAGTCTGATGAGGAGTGGATGAGGGGGCTGGGGGGGCTCAGCCTGGAGAAAAGGAGGCTCAGGGGGGACCTTCTGGCTCTCCAAAACTCCCTGACAGGAGGATGGAGCTGGGGGGGGGTTGGGCTCTGCTCCCAGAGAACAAGGAACAGGATGAGAAGAAACTGCCTCAAGTTGTACCAGGGGAGGTTTAGATTGGATATCAGGGAAAATTTCTTCATTGAGAGGGTAGTCAGGCATTGGAACAGGCTGCCCAAGATAGTGGTGGAGTCACTATCCCTGGAAGTGTTCAAAAAACATGTGGATGTGGCACTTGGGGACAGGGGTTAGTGATGGCCTTGGCAGTGCTGGGTTAATGGTTGGACTTGATGATCTTAGAGGTCATTTCCAAACTTAATTATTGTATGACTCTTCTGTTTTGTACCTGTATTTTGCTTTTTTTGTTTTTTAATATATATATTCAGAAATAGCAAAGAAAAAATTCTTTGGGAAGGCTTAGTGAGAACATGGGGTGTAATTAATAGGAAACTATCAATAAGATATCATAATAAGATCCTTAATAAAAAGAAAAAATGGCCAAGCATTAGTGTTTCTGTTTACCCAGCCTTTGTGGGGTTGTGTTTCAGGGGGAGAGGACTTGACCATGGCTGGAAATCGGGCTGTGTCATAGCACATGCTGACACACACCTACATTATCTAAACCTAATAATTCCATGTTGGTAAATTCTGTCAAGAGAACTGCCGGCATTGGCTCCCATGTGTGTGACCTGTGCTCAAACATTCCCAGAAAAAGTGGTTTTCTGCTCAGCCACACAGTGATCACACTAGAAAATAAGCTGCAAACTGCCCTTCTCGCCCCATAAATAGGAGAAAAATTACAACCAGCTCCCACAGCAGCTGAGTTCAGGCTGTTGTAAAGTCTGGGTTGGCTCCAGAGGGAGCTTATCTTCTTCTTTTCCAAGAAAATAAAGAGAGCAAAGACTAGGGAGTGCCAAGACACTTAGATGCCCTTTACTATCCCCTTTTCTGTATGGATGATTAGGTCTCAGTGGTTTGTAGCTCCTCAGAAACTCTCCCCCAGCCCTCTGAACTGTGTCAGCTCAGTCTGGATCCGAACAGGAGCAGAAGCCGTTCAGCAGAAGCCCGTGAATGTTTTTGGCAAGGGAGCTCATTTAGTTCACACGGAGGATTTGGACATCAGCAGAGGATTGTGAAATGATGTGAGGTACCCAGGGGTGTCTGAGGAGGAACAGGGATGCAGTTCAGGGCTCCAAATCCTCTGGTACAGCAGTTTCTGTTCCCGATCAGAGCCCGGGGCAATAAAACCGAGTAAAGCCTGGCTGACTGCAGGCCAGTGCCTGGATTTCACCTGAGTCATCCTGACTCTTCTGCTAAAACCTGTCATCAGAAACCAAATGATAAATGTGGAGCATGTTGCAGCTGCTGGGGTGTTTTTTTTTCTTTTTCCTTTTTCCTCTCTCTTTTTTTTTTTTGTCATAGTTAAATGCAGCTCTTGTGTAAGGAGTAAAGCCAGTGAGTCACACACCACACCCCACCCTCCAACAGCTCCTTCCCTTCCTTATCTCCCCAGCAATTCACCATTTCCTTGGCACAAGGGGGGAGAACTTGTCCCTGCTGCCTTATGGACAGAGTGTGAAAAGAGAGGGCTTTGTGGCTCCTTTAGCATCTCAACCATTTATTTTGATGGCCATTTATTTAGTCCCCCCCGTTCTTGCTTGGGGTGATGGGTGATGGAGCATTCACCCTACGCTCAGCTGAACCTTCAGACTCAGTTTCTGGCTCATAAAACCCCGGAACAGCTCCAGCTGGAGGGGACCTGTGTTCCAAACATCTGCCCCAGCATTTATTTGTTCACCAACACTTGAACCCAACATGGGGCAGGGGCAGAAGGGGCTCTTGGCAAAGATGAGCTGTGCTCTGTCTGCTGGATTTGTCCCCAAAGTGCCCGGAGGATGCAGGATGCTCAAACCATCTTTTGGGGTGATGTCGCAACAAGATCCCTGTGGAAACCCCAAAATATTTGGTCTTGGTCATCAGAGGTGGCACATTTCCAGAGTCACAGGTGGGAATGTTAAAACACTGGGACACACCAGCCCTGCAGCAGGAAGGTGTCTGCAGACATCAGGGGTTTGAAGGGACAGAAGCCCAGCCAGGATAAGGTGGTGGGTGGGAATGGTCACTAAGGAGGGCCAGTCCATTCCTGGGGTCATTCTGGTAGCTGCATCCCAACACCAGTGACCCACAGCCTCTCAGAATGGTGTTGATGGCATTTCAACAGTGCCAGGGAGCGAATGGGTGGGATGTGCCAGCATCACCCTGGTAGGAAAAGAGCCGGCTCTAGGAGGTTGAGGGGATGAGAAGACAGTGGAGAAGGATGCTGGGAGGTGCCATGCAGCTTGACCTGCATCCCAGCTGGACCCTCCCCATCCCTGCCCTTGCTTCTAACCCTGGGCTCCCCATGGACTTTGCCCACACTGGGTTGATTGGAGGGGGCACCCTACAGTGGTTTGGGGCCGGCCCCCCATGCCCTCACCACACACCTCAGCCCAGGGATCACCCCATGCCACCAGCCTGTGCCCCAACCCCCTTGTGCCCCCAGCCTGGAGGATTCCCCTGTATCCCCAGGCGGGGAATCCCTCTGGATCCTCCCTTACCCCTCATCCGCACCTCAACCCACGGGATGTCCCCACACCCCCATTCCGGGTGTCAGTCTGGAGGATCCCCATGGATGTCCAGTCCTTGCCTCAGCTCCAGGATTCCCCCAGCCCAGGGGATCCCTCCGGATCCCCCCATACCCCAAGCCCGGGTGTCAGCCCTGAGGATCCCCTCGGATCTCCCCCGAGGATCTCCGAGGATCTCTTGTCTCAGCCCCAGGATCCCCCCGTACCCCCATTACAGGGAATCCCCCCGAATCCCCCCTTACCACCAGCACAGGGGATCTCCTTGAATCCACCCTTACCCCCAGCCCAGGGGATCCCCTGGGATCCCTAGCCCGTGTCTCATCTCCGGGACCCCCATCCCAGGGGATCCCCCCGAATTCCCCCGTACCCCTATCCCGGAGGATTCCCCCGAATCCGCCCCGTACCCCCAGCCCAGGGGATCTCCCGGGATCTCTAGCCCGTATCTCATCCCCGGGGAACCCCATCCCAGGCCATCCCCTCAGATGCCCCCGTACCCCCACCGCGGGGGGACCTCTCTGTACTCCCCCCCCCACTCCCATCCCGGGGGATCCCCCCGTTACCCCCCGTACCCCTTTTCCACCCGGCTCCCGACCCTGCCGGTGACGCGGCTCCGGGGCCGCCAATGGCCGCGGCGCGGGCGCTATAAAAGCGGGCGGCGGCGCCGGGACCGCCCGCACCGGGGGCCGAGCCGGGGGCTGCGGGGTCGGCACAGCCCGCACAGCGCCCGTCGGTGCCGGTGCCGGTGCCCGGCCCATGGAGGGGGCGCGGGGCTGTAACGGGTACGCGCGGCAGGAGCGGCCGCCGCCCCCCGCCCCGGCCGAGAAGCCGCGGGTCCCCCCGGGCGGCGGCGATGGGTGGCGGGGGGAGCGGCCCCGCAGCGAGGAGGACAACGAGCTGAGCCTGCCCGGGCTGGCGGCCGCCTACACCTCCATCCTGCGGGCGCTGGGAGAGGACCCGCAGCGGCAGGGGCTGCTCAAGACGCCCTGGAGGGCGGCCACGGCCATGCAGTTCTTCACCAAGGGATACCAGGAGACCATCGCGGGTAGGGAGCGCTCCCGGGGCGGGATGGGGATGGAACTGCTTGCGTGATACCAGCCGAGGCGCTGCCTCTCCTGCTTTATTGCTTGAAACGGGCTCCATCGCTGCCCTGTCGCTGCACCGCCCGTCCGGTGCCCCTTGTCGCTAAGTCAGCAATGTGTGTTAGAAAGAGCCTGTGCCCTGCGGTCTCGCTGTTCCCTCCCTCCCCAAATTTCTCGTTACTGTGTTTTCTCTTTCCTATTAAACTATGTACTGGTAAAGTTCCCGTTCTGCCGTAAACTTCCATGCTTTTGTTTTGGGCGAGCAGTGCAAGTGCTTTTGCTTTTGCTTTCCCTCCTCTTCGGTGAACTTTTCGAGCTGTGCCATGGAAACTTGCGGATGGTGCTTTCCTCCGTCCCCGGCCGAGCGAGGCTGTGTTCAGGATAGGGTAGGAATATGTTTCCATTAGCAGACGTAAGTGGTGTGAATTGTCTCACAAAAGGTCCCGTTTTGCTGATGCTTTTAGTCAGGTGAGGTTTTTCGAAAGGGGCAGTGAAACTTAAGGAAGCGAGGTCGGGAGAAAGGAGGAGCTCAGGGAGATTCCTGACCCAGGGTCCCAGCAGCACACGCAGATGTGGAGAGGTACCCCAGGTTCACCCTCCTGCCCCAACTGAGTGTCTCTGCTTGCTGGCTGAGGGCATGAGGAGAGGAATTAGGTGGGAGGTGTTGTCCCCATCACCAAAAACTCCACAGTTGTCTCTTGGTTCCAAAGCAGGGTGAATACTGCTTGGAAATGTAGTTTTTACATCACTTTTCCTCTTCTCAGCCTCTTGGCTGTGGACTGTACCCAGTACAAACAATAAAAAGGGCTTGGGAAGCTTGGGAGTTCCCCCTTCCCCTTATTACAGTAAAAGGCAGGTTCCTGTCAGTAAGGGATGCAAACACTGTCAGCAGGGATCTGTGAGTGTGAAGGAGGAAGGAGCTGGTCATGTTCTGCTCTCAGAGCACAGCACTGGGGTGCTGAGCCTGCCCCAGAGCTGCATCAGGGTGTTGGGGCTGAATGCAAAGGCTGAGCTGTGCTGATGGATGGCATCAGGGAGCTTCTGCTGACGCCTGAGTCCTTTTCCAAGTGCACTGTGCTTCCAGTTGAAGGCTTTTGTGTTTGGTTTCTTTTTCACTTCTCTGCTGTTGGCTCTTGTGAAATCAGATTACATATAACTTCCAGCATTAACTTACTCATGGCCAGCTGGTACCCTCGTGCCAGTCTTGTGTCCTGGCTTCCCCCAGGAACAGCATTTCTGCCTTGGAAGCTGTTTTGCCTTTCAGATCAAACCAGGATTTTGGGGTCACATCTGGAAATAGGCTCTGGGCTGCAGTGGCCACCCTTGTTCCTCTCTTCCTTTAGTCCTGCTGCACAGTGTGTTTGAGATGAGGTTTCATCAGGGTTTCATGGAACGATCCTTTGTCTAGTGAGAGTAGCTTTCCTCATTTTACTGCTGCAAAACACAGGAGGTCTCTCAGCCATCCTGTCAGGCTCCAGCAGAAGGAATTTCCTAGTGATAGTTTAAGCAAGAATTTCTGTGCTGAACCTGGATGAGGTTGCTGCCCTTCTGAAGTCCTCTCTTATCTTGCTGCCAGTTCTGTGATCACACATTACCTTTAGTTATTTAAAAAACTTTTTTCTGCTCCAGTGTGGATTCTCTGGGATTTCAATGGTGTCTCCTAATCTCTCACATACACTTCATTAAGCAGAGTGGTTCTGGATACTCTCCTCCTCTGAATATCCATACCTAGTAGAGAGCTGTGTTATGTCCAAGAGTAGGAAAAAACATCACTGCTGGGTGCTCTACTCTTGGACTGCTTTTTTCTTTTCTTTTTAGGAAATAATGTGAAACTGTGATCTTAACATGCCTTCCTTTGTCAGGTGGGGAATCCTTTTACTTTCCAGATGCTCACCTATTCTTGCAGGATGCTCAGCTTCCAGTTGCCCCACTTTTCCTAGCTAAAAAGAAAGAAGAGCTGTAGATAAAGGACAAGACCAGAGCAGCTAACAAAGCAACTGGTGGATGAGGAGTTGGTTGGGAGAGTCAAAAGGGAAGTAAATAGTGCTTGGGAGAGTTTTAAATACCTCATGAAACTTAGAGCCAACAAGTACAAAGTATTTTGGGCACAAGACTAGGTGTGGGACTGCTGCTGTCTTTGCTGCAGCATCCTGGTGTGCTGTTCCCTTGGTTATGCTAATCCAGCTGTCTGCCTGGCCAGGCTGTAAACTGGACCAGGAACTGGATTGTAAAAGAAGAACCAACCTAAAATAACCCAAACCTCACCCCCCAAAAAACCAGAAAGCAGCCCTGACCTCTTGTTTTCTCAGGTTTATTTTGCAGCTTTTTCAGCTCCTCATGTCTGGATAGGCAGAGGTTAAAGCAGTGACTTGCAGGATGTGTGTTGAGCAGCGTTTCAAGTTTATCCCTGCAACAGGCAGAAGATAAGGGACAGTTACAACAGCTGCCAGTTCCATCTTTCCATGAAAGGTTTCTCAGGTAAAAGCTCCTGGTGGTGGCTGTACAAACACGTGGCCAGAGGCAAAGTGTGTTGCAACAGGCACCCAGCTCCCAAACCTTGCCAGGGTGTGGAGGTGCTGCCAGACTGTGCTGCCAGGAAAGAGTGACACAAATGAACAAGGGCAGTGAATGTTAGTACAGCTACAGGCTTTAAAATCAGCCTTCTGACCTCGTCTGCTTGAGTGTCTGCCTTAGGGAGGCAGGAGATGGTGTTTTCATTTCCCGTAAAGGAACACAAAGAAAGATGTAATAGGTACACATCCAGATTACAGAATCATTAAGGTAGGAAAAGACCTCTGAGTCCAAATGTTCTCCCAGCACTAACCATGTCCCCAAGTGCCACATCCACACAGCTTTTAAATCCCTCCAGGGATGATGACTCCACCATTGCCCTGGGCAGCCTGACCACCCTTTCCATGAAGAAATTTTTCCCAGTATCCAGTGTAAACCTCAGGTGGTGCGACCTGAGGCAGTTTCCTCGTGTCCTGTCCCTTGTGCCTGGGAACAGAGCCCGACCCCCACCCGGGTCCCCCCTCCTGTCAGGGAGTTGCAGAGCCAGAAGGTCCCCCCTGAGCCTCCTTTTCTCCAGGCTGAGCCCCCCCAGCTCCCTCAGCTGCTCCTCTTCAGAGCTGTGCTCCAGACCCTTCCCCAGCTCCACTGCCCTTCTGGGAAGTGCCAAGTTGCAAGTGAGGTCTTGCAGGGCTTGACTTAAGCCTCACTTGCTGTATTATTGTGGGGACTTGGACTAGATGGCCTTTAAGGGCCCCTTCCTGCCCCAAACATTTCGTGATCTCTTTTATTTACTGTGTGTCTGGGAACATAATACATTTGGGGCACGGTTAAACGTGCTGGTCATTTGATCTCCTTTCCTGGGTGTTGTCACTTTGCTCCCATGGCCCCCGATTGTATTTTTCTACTTGCCATAGCTTAACTTTGTAGTATTGCAGGGAAGACTACATCTAAATTCCGTCCCTTCTCTCCTTTCAGATTTATGTGAGCAGCAGAGAAGCTGATTCTGCTTTCCAGTTTCCACTGTGTGTGTGTTTTCTTGCTTGGTTTTGACAGCGCAGAGTAACAGTGTTCCTGCTTTATTCCTTATTCATCTTTGCTATCTGTGTTCTGCAGCTGCTCAGTATTGTATGTCGGAGCCACTAGTGGAGTTTACTTGTTAAATATCTAAATCTGGCTCTTTCTATTCATTCTAGATTGTCGCTTATTAATCCTGGCTTTACTAAAGGCCTCATCCTCTTTCTTTGACAGAACATATTCAAGAGTGTTGTTCTCACTTGTGTCGTCCTAGTCATCAGACTTTGACTGGAGTAGCAGGGATGCCTCTGGTGATTTCAAATAAAATCCATCTTGGGACCAGATTAAAAATACTGACAGTTCACTGCAGACACTCGGGCATCGATGCAGACTAACAGTGGTTGCAACAGAAACCTCTTAGTGTGTTGGTAAAGGTGGCAGAGCAGAAAAGTTACCCAAAAAACCTTTTCAATCTCATGCAATGCTCCTGCATCAGCACCCAGGAACGCGTTTTCTTTTCCAGAGTCAGATCTATCAGCTTCTTACTTCTGTGAGTAAGTGATATTTCAAAATAATAATTTCAAAACCCTGTCCTCTTGGTTAATGAAGGTTAAGAGCAGCACTGTGACAATCGGGTGCCTTTAGCTTTCTTACTGCTGGTTCGGGCCATTACCTGCCACACAAAGACTAAACCTTGAGAAATCTGTCCCTTCTTTTACTAAAGGCTTAATGTCATGCTCAGAGGGGCTGTTTGTGTATAAATACTACACAGCACAAATGTGTGCAAATGAGTGAATAAATGGGAATACAAGATTGCAGACAGCACTAGCTTGGAACTGAAGCTGAAGGCTTCAGAACCAGTCTTGCTAAGCAGAGCTAAATGGTAAATTACAGAAACTGTGTCTGTTACAGTGTCAACGATGCTCTGAAAGGTAAATCACAAAGGAGTTGGTTTGGATTGTGTAATCCTGTAGGAAACACAAGGCACAGGGTTGAACAAGCTGCCTGTGTCTGCAGGAGGAAGTTAACTTATTTTCATCCTCCATAAACACTCCAAGCAAAACAGCATGTTCACTAAACGGTGTATTGCTGGTGGCAGAGGGAGCTGATGTCAGAGAAGTCTCCCAGCCCTTACTCCTGTGAGCATGTCAGCTCTCAAGCACGTTGGCAGGTTCAGCTGCCCTTTCAGTGTGTTTAACAGGGAAATGAATATCAGAAATACTGGGAGGGGACAACTTTGCTTTCTGAACCTCTGTGGGCTTGAAAGGCTGCCCGTTATTTGCCTGGAAGCCAAGTGACTCTGCTGTGCAGCTTTTATTTTACAGCAAATAACAACTACTTAACTCGTTTCCTCATCAGTTTACGTGCTTTTCCTACGTCGAAATATTTCGGCCTTAATATTCCTTTCTCCATCTCGTCAGTGTGGATTTGGTGTTTT